GAAGGCAAAGGCCTAGGGTGGGAGGAGGAAGCAGCTATCTCCTCTCCCTTTGGTTTTGCAAATGATGGGTCTCTCTGGAATCTCCCATCACATTCGTACTGCCTGGCCATGCCCCTTCAGCTTCCTGGTGCAGATGTCAGTTGGGCGTGATGGCTCTTCCCACACTCCTCCCAGTGCTCCCATCCCATTTGGAAGCCAGTTTGCAGAGCAGTGCACACCTAAACAGCACAGACCTCACTTTAGGCATCTTTAGAGGTGCCCAGCACTTGGCCCAGAGCTTGTGTGCTGCACAGATGGAGAAGGTTCCTGGAGAGGGATGAAGAGGAAAGAGGAAACCTTCTTCACCCAAGAGTAGTAGTGATCACTGGGAGCATAAAGAGACTTAGGTCCAGGCCTCATTCTTCTCTGTAAGATGGAAATTGAAGTATCTGTGTTTTCCTCCTTGGATTCCAGAAAGACCAACAATTAATTCATTGAGTCAGCAAGCATTATACTACCTCTGGGCTAGTCCCAAGGTCCCCTCAGGAAATGGAGCTGCTAGCATCTGCTCCCACAGATGACATACCATAGAGCACACCCTCCTCCAGGACACAAGGGCACAAGTGGATGAAACCTCTTGCACTGCCCCTCATTGAGCCCCAGTCTCCTCTTCTGTAAAATAGAGATAATACCTACTGCCCAGGACTAGCACAAGGATGCAAGAGGTATCTGTAGCACACCACTACCGCTGCCACTACTACTGTGACTATTGTGATTTATACTTTTCTGATTATTCCACTCAATACAAAGTGCCTTTATAACGCTGGACTCCTTTCATCTACGTGTGGGCTGGCTTAGCATGTGTCTGACCATTCCCATTTTATAGCTGAAGAAACCAAGGTTTTACAGGAATAAGTGTTTTATTCAAAGCCAGTTATCTGGGATCCCTGGGTGGCGCAGCGGTTTGGCACCTGCCTTTGGCCCAGAGCGCGATCCTGGAGACCCGGGATCGAGTCCCACGTCGGGCTCCCGGTGCATGGAGCCTGCTTCTCCCTCTGCCTGTGTCTCTGCCTCTCTCTCTCTCTGTGTGTGACTATCATAAATAAATAAAAATTTTAAAAAATTAAAAAAAAAAAAAAACAAAGCCAGTTATCTAGAAAGTGGCAGAGCCAGGACTCCAAACTAGATGCCATAACTCCTACGCTGTCTACCCTACCACCGTGTAGATGGAAGTGTACCAGAAAATATAGAATATTCTGTAGAATATAGGATATAAGGAGTTAATGGCATAGAGGTGGAGTGGTGGAGTTAATCAAAAAGGTTGCTGCATGTGAGTTTTAAGATGGCCTTGTAGTGGTGGGCATAGCCAGAAGAAGCCATTCTGCTAAGGGAAGAACACAGCAAGGAGGCACTGGTGCTAGCCAAGCCTGTGGAGCGGCAGCCAAGCCTGTTGGAGCTTGCAGAGATGGGACCAGCCAGGGAAGGTGCTGAGATGCCTGCTCAGGGCACCCTGATACCATCTCAAGCCTAGAGAGCAGTGGTCAGGAGACAGAGGACAGGGGCTCCTGAGGCTGTGTATCAAAGTTGAATGAGCCAGATTAAAATGCTACCAAAAGACTGGTTTCTGGGTGAGGCTAGGGTATGGGAGATGCTGTGGCCAGCAAGAGCCAACTCCTTTCTTTAAACTCCTGAAGCACAAGTTCAAGCTTAAGAGTTAGCCCGGACTCTGGGGGTAAAGCCCAGGGCCTTCATTTATTTACCTGTGTAACTTTGAGCAGGTTACCTAACTTACCTATCTCCTCATCTATAAGAAGGGGAATCAAGGGGCGCCTGTCTTGCTCGGTTGGAAGAGCATATGACTCTTGATAGGGTTGTGAGTTTGAGCCCCACATTGGGTGTAGAGATTACTAAAAAGTAAACTTTTTTTAAAAAGGGGACCCAGATTCCCTGCCCTGCCTGCTTTGTAGATTCATAATGAGGCTCAAGTGAAGTTACGAGGTTTTTGATAGACTGAAAGGTGCGAACAGGGTAAGTTGCTGCATTTGATGATCCACAATGAGAACATTAGCACCTCTGGTCCCGTGTCCAGTGGCCCACGGGGTCTGTGCTGGAGCCTGGCAGAAACCCTCAAGGCCCCCAGCCATGGCCATCAGCCACCCTGCCAGCCACACAGCCCAGGGCCCACCTCCCTCACTCTGGCCTAGCTGCTTCCATTTCTCATTCTGTCGGACCCCATCTGCTTGGTCGTTTTTCTCTTCAGATATTATTAGAAATATCCAGAGTTGTAATTGTTTAATAGTTGGCATTTCGCCTGTTTCACAGGGGCCAGACCAAACCCACCCCAGACTCATGCCCCGGGTCTGGCAGAATTGGCCGGGGACAGCTGTGCGGTGGAGTCTGCCTGGCATTATAAAGAGCTCTTTCCCAGGTGCATTATTAGAAAAGAAGGGGGAAAGATGGCCCCGGGAATAATCCAATTCCACCTTCTCCATGGTGTTTTTGAACTGCATAGCCCAGCAATGTGTAGCTCTCAATACCTGGGAAACTTTCCTGAAAGAGAAATCAGGATCAGAACCTCAGGTATCTGAAACCTGAGGAACCCGACTTCCCCCAGGCCACCTGTCTGAGTGATGCTTGGGTACTTCTGCCTCCCCTAAATACCCTGTGAAGCCTAAGTCCACTTTATGCTCAGCTTCTTTCCAACCTACATTTTCAGTTCACTCACCTTTTGGAAGAATGTGACTCCTTTCAGATGACCCTTCTCTCACCCTTGCCCCAACACACATCCACACCTAGTGTCCGCAGAAGTCTAGCCTTTGCCATTGATATCTCTGCCTCCCCCAAAACCCCATCCACAGGTTCTTGTTTCTCTCAGGGCACTGTTTCTCTCAGTCCGTCTCAGCCAGGCTTGGACTATCCATCATCATCCCCAGCTTTCAGGTACCTGGGAGGCTAGGGGGTTCCTCTGAGAGCCAAGCCTTCCACAGGGCTGGTTCAGCTAGTTTAGAGATGATCTGGGACCTTTCCCAAAGAAGAAGCTGGATTTGAGTGTTTTCTCAGGCCCCTCTCAGGATTCTCAGGAGGTGTCTCCCAAGAGGTTACACTTCCATCTGTTCCCACTGAGGCCAAAACTAGGATCTTTAGGTAACAGCATTCAAGATTGAGGTGAGAAAGGCCGCAGCACGGACCTGAAGTCCTAAAGCAGGTATTTGAAACCTAATCTGACCCCACCCACAACTACTCCTATTCATTTCCTGTCTCTCCACCTGTGTCATGCTGGCTACCCTTGCCCCTCCAGATCTTCCTGGCCTCCATGATCCTTCATCAATCCCACTTCTTCCAGAAAGCCTCCCCTGACCTCCAGAGCTACTTCTCTGAAACCCAGCCATACAGATTGTACCATACAGTATAGCATTTAGGATCTTTGTACCCCAGAACTGGCAGACACTTCTCTAAGACCATCAGTTATTTCTCAGTTGACTTGTTTTCCTGGTCTTGTCTTCTGACATATATCCCTTTGTTAATCTCCCCCAACACTCTGAGAACCAGACCATACATGCAGTTCTAGCTGTAGACCAATCCTGACATTGCACAGTACTCTGTCCCCTTCCTGCTTCTGATTGCCATGTTCTCATTGATGCAACACAAATTAATACTTCACTTTTTAAAGCAGCCATATGTGAGCAAAAAAAAGGAATGTTTAGAGAGAGAAGAGACTCTATCATCTCTACCAGTCAACTAGTGATCTGCTAGCTGTATGACATAGAGACTTAGGCAAGTCTCTTTATCTTTTGCCTCAGTTTCCTGTTCAATGTAATAGAATTCAAGATAATACTTTTCCTCTCAGGTTGTTTGTGTGGGTCTTGAGTAATCAAAAATGTTGACAGTTTATCCAGTTGTGCCCAGCAGATAGCATGTTCAATAAATGATTCTTCATATAATAGTTCTGCCTCATTTCGCCCCCTGCTCTTCTACTTGAGTGATGCTTCTGAGCCTGATTCTCCCACTCTGTAGTTAGGCATTTAATTTCCTCACCTTGAAGGGTGCCAGGGTGGCTCAGTGGTTGAGCGTCTACCTTTGGCTCAGGTTGTGATCCCAGGGTCCTGGGATTGAGTCCCACATCAGGTTCCCTGCAGGTAGCCTGCTTCTCCCTCTGCCTATGTCTCTGCCTCTCTCTGTGTGTCTCTCATGAATAAATAAATAAAATCCTTAAAAATGACAACAACAACAACAACAATAATAACAATAATAATAATTTCCTCACCTTGAATGGTTACAGCCCTTGATTATATACTTCCTCCTGAAAAGGAGAGGTCAGGTCTCATGCTAGCAGTGCTGAACTCTCAGGGAACCTAGTACGTATCTATCCTACTCCCCCACCACTCTTCCTCCACTAGAGGCCATGGTTAGTGGCAGTGATCACCAAGTGGTTCATCCATCTGTGCCCTGAGCTCCACACTACCATTGACTGGATTCCAAAAAGTACATTTGGCTACACTTCCAGACAGTGAACTAGATCTTGGTTTCCCCAAATGGGAAAGAGTCCAGAGCTCACACCCCAGATCCCTCAGGGCCTGCCATGGGCTTCTTTATCTTCCATTTGCATAGGAAGCAGGCTTAGTCTCCCACCAGTGGTGAGTAGATGGATAACCAGCCATCTGAGAGCTAAAGTTCCTCTCGAATTCTCCTTCACCACCCCCCTACCCCCTTCACCTCCATTCACCATCCACCCGCCTTTCAGTTTCCCTGGCAACGCTGAGTGCTCATCCTGGAAAACTTTATCCGAAATCTGCTCTGGGCAGCTTTCCAAATCCATGCTAACCTGATTAGGTGTCTCTAGGGGCCTTGCCAGCTAATCAGATTAGGCAGCACTAATGGTAGTGAGGACTTTGAGTGGGCGCAGAGCAGTAAAACATATTGTATACTTAGTGATAATTATCCTGCCTTTTGTGTCATTGATTTATCTGCCTCCCTCCCTGTCCCCCCCCCACCCCCACCCCATCTTGTGTGTTTGGCCCTAGCGATCCGGAGGAAGGAGAATGGCTGGTACGACGAAGAACACCCTCTGGTCTTCCTCTTTTTGGGATCATCTGGAATAGGTAACTGGGAGCATATTGGCAAGTGGGGAAGGAGAGCTGGGGGGAGCCTCAGCTGCTATGGGTCAGGGTCACACAACCTACTTCTGTACAACTCTGAAAGCTCTGAAAACAACTGCCTCCAAATTAAAGAGCCAGCAAGAGGATTGTCTGTCACATTAGAAATAGCTAGAATTATCCCCCTCCCTTTGGAAGCTGTGATTCAGGGCCTAATTCACCTGGGTGACCAGGCCCCTTTGGGGTCTGATAGCCCTGATCTGGCCACTCTGCATCCCCAGAGGCTACCCTTTGGGAACAATTGAATCACCTCTGCTTCCCAGCACACCAACTTTATTTAGTACAGCTTGGGACATAACCTTCTAGGAAGCTAAAGTAAGCCCTTAATGGCCAACACAGTGGGGATGCTTAGCAAAATTGGTTTCAGTCAAATGGGTTGGGTGTTTTTCTAGCCTGTTGGGCTGGACTATCTGAGGCATTCTCATCCCCTCACTCTCCACCCTCACCCCCTAACTTGCACCACCACCTCCCACCATTGCCCTGATGGGAAGTTTCATGCATTTGTTGTTTCATTTTCCCCTGTTAGCATCTTCATGGGCCTAGCACTCCCCCAGATGTAGGTTACTGTCATCTCACCATGATACTGTAGAACTTGATTTCCTATGTTAGACAGTGACTTCCAACAGTTTGGCCATCATACCAAATGGCCCTTCAAAGCCACCACATTGGTATTGTCATTCTTTCTTTATGTTACAAAGAAAGGCTATGAGGCCAAGAAAAGGTGTTCTTTATTCCCTCAGCCTTTGTTTGGTTGGCAAGACCACAGGTGTCTAAAGAAATGCAGTGCAGTAACCAAGAAGTCAGGGTGCTCCTGTGAGAGGCAAGTTTGCACTGGGCTTCAAAGGACAAATTGGCTCTGGATTATAAGAGTCCACTCCCGCTTTTAAAATGCTGCTATAGAGAAAAAGTCTCAATCTCCATCCACAGAAAAATCAAGATGCAATCCAGACTTGGATTCTGGTTCCAGCTCCACCTTTGATTCTCCTTCCCAGTGACTGGGAGAGTCACCGACCCTCCCTGAGCCTCAGTGTTCCCATCTATAAAATACGTTATTTCAAATGTCCATGCATTTCTAGTATTCTTTCATTCCAGAAGACAGTCATTTGGTCCTAACCCAATACCTCTCCCTTCCTTCTTATTAGGAAAGACAGAGCTGGCAAAGCAGACAGCCAAATATATGCACAAAGATGCCAAAAAGGTAAGGGTTGGGATCTAGGCCTGGTGTGCAGGCCATGGAGACCTCACCACTACTGCTAGACCCCAAAATTCTAGGCTCCTGAATCGGATAATAGTAAATCAAAAAGATGGACCCTGGCCCAGAAAGCAGGCCTCAGTCTGGCCCCAGACCGGCCACCAGTTGTTCCAGGAATTTGGGCAAATTATCCAACCTCCTGCACCTCCTTTTATTTATCTATGAAACAGGAAAAATAATCCTTGCCCTGCCTGACTTCTGGGGCATTTGGAAGAACCCCATGAGATTCATCCATGCATTTTCAGGCATGTACTTTGAGGAACTCAGGCTAGAAAGGGAAACAGCTTTAGAAACATACTAGTACTATTTAGTACATCAAGGCCATGCTAAAGAGTCTTGGGGCCTGTAGGAGAAAACAAATGGAATGAAAAGATGCCGTATTGCTTCTCTCCATTGTATATGAGCTTTTATGTCTGATATCTTATGCCCTAAGCTGTGGGGTGGTCACAGTCCCCTTTTCCCCATGACTCGGAGCCTTTGGACTAAACCACAAGAGAGACGAGAAGCCTGTCCCTAACCCATATTTATTCAGACTTAGGCTTTCAAGGCCTACTTAGTTTGACTTTCTATGCTAACTAGAAATGTTGTCATACAGAGAGAAGTGTCAGAGCCAACCTTGAAGATTGCAGAAACATTTCTGCTAAAGCCAAACGTTCTTTCCACCAGCCTTCCCCTGTGGAGGCTGAGGTACTCCTGCCCAACATCTGAGGTTGCTTCTGACCCCAGATGCTCTTGCCTAATTTCTATGGAAAGCCTCCCTCGCTGAGACAGTGAGGAATTACTCAAGCCTCTGGTAGCCAAAACTGCCCCAGCAGCTGAGTCCTAGCCACCTTCCATCCTGCTTCTGGCCTCACTGTCCCTTTGCCTCCTCCTTGAGGGCCTGACAGCCGTAGAAACAAGGTAGGTCACTCAGGTTGTATCCTCCTGGGCCACATCCCTGGCACCCTTCTCCCTAATAACTGGCTAAAAGCTCCTAAGCTTCCCTGGCTCTGCCAATAGCTATGCTCTGCCTCAACCAAAACCCAGAGCAGACCCACTTGACAGGCAGTAGGCAAGAAGCAGCACATGGCATGCTAATATGCTGCAACTGAAATAGCATTTTTAAGACAATTCATCAGGTTGGCAGCGATTGAAACAATTAGCACTCTGGAAAGAGCCATAAACTAGCAAGACTATTAGGGAAGATACAGTTACGGGCAGGAACCACCTGATTAGGGATGAAGAATTCTGAGTGGTTTAATTTTAATACTGTCAGAAAGGTTAATATTTAATTACAAATTATAATCTCCTTATCCAAGCTGTCTTAATATGTCTTCATACACAGTGGAAGAAAGAAAGCATTGGCTGACTTGCTGGTGTAGAAAGGAGACGGGGCTTGCTTAGAGACTGATGATGCACATCATTTTTAGTGAGCGCATCTGAACGAGGGGCAGACTAACACCAATGCAGGGGCCCCTGAAAGCATGATGATGGTAATGCAATCACCTGCAATACACCATCACCCTTCAGGAGCAGGGGGCTGGGTGGGCAAGACCCTGGAGCCAGCCATTCCTCAGCACAGGCTCTAGTTCTACTTCCTACTGGCCTTAGGCGGGTTACTTGACCCCTCCAGGTTCCAGCTCTCTTGCCTCAAAGTGAAGCTGTTCAGTCCTGTGTCTAATGTTGTGAGCATGCAGTGAGACACTATGAGTCACAGTGACCTCAGGCTCTAGCACCCTTAAGTAAGTGCCTGAGCCCTGATCTCATGTTTATTTATCACCGTGTACTTTCCATGGTACCACCTCATTGACTGTCTTGTTCAATCCCATGAGAAAGATTACACAGATGCTAAATTAGATCCACTTTTCAGATGAGAAGACTGAGACCCTATAACACGTAGGGGCCCATCCAGGGTCACTTGTGAGGAGAAGAGATGAAATCAGAATCCAGTCTCAACTGTCCTCTCAATACTATTATCCCTAGCTGCAGTAGAAGGCTAGATTGTAAACTTGTCAATGGGTTCCCATGTCAAATAGGGAGATGAGAGGCATGAGAATCCCAGTACAACCATCTGTGTGTTTAATTTTTAAACCCTAGGTGGTACCTCTATATAACCCCTGCTTGTACAAGCCCTGTGGGCAGAGTCTGTGTTTAGCATAGACATTTTCTGGCCTTGTAACAGGCAAGTGTGAGACCTGCCTTCAAAAACCTGAGAGTCCTGCACTGTACTTGATGCCAGCAGGACCCAAGAAATAATGTATAGGAAGTGTTATGTCACAGGAACAGTAGAGTATGGCTGGCTAAATGAAATGTACACTGGCCAGGAAGTCGGTGGCTTGAATTTTAAGTTCTGGCTCTGTGATCCTTAGTTTCCTTATTTGTAAAAAGCCACTGATAGACCTCTGGACCTGGTTACCTCACAAGGTCTCATTAGCACATTTGTATAATTTCTTTATCAGATCTTTGGCTTATTTTTTTCTCTCATTAGCCTCTACTCTTTCTCCCAGATTGAGCGGTTTTGTTAACTTCCATTATTAAGGTTAATAATCCTTGAAAAAGTACCTTAATGGTGTTCTGTGATCTTATCCTGAGGTAGGGTGGTAGAGCCCTGAAGATGGCAGTTATAATGGTACTATGACGAAGGGATCAGAAGCAAGGGTCTGAGTCCACATACCTGGGTTCAAACTCCAGCTCTAAACTACTCTGGAGTTAGCTGGGATATCTGTTCACATCAGTTTTCTCAACTGTAAAATGGGTTCAATTATGGTGCCTATCTCATTTGATTATTATGAAGATTAAATGAGATAATGTAAACTGCTACATACCGTTAGCACATAGTAAGTAATCAGTACATGTTGTATATTATTATAATTGTTGCCTCTTTTCTAGATAACTCTAAGCTAAGATTATGTGAAACCAAAAGTGTTCCAGCCAAGAAAAGCTGTGAAATTTTGTTGAGTTACTCAACAGATCAACAAAGATCTAGGATGAGAACCCACATCACTTGACATAAGTGAGCATTAGTCTATACTTCTGGTATCCTGGGACAGTTGACATCTGTACACAAAGTGCAGAACTTACAGATGAAGACTGCCAAGAACTGATTGACAGAGCAGGAAGTATAAGGCAGTAGAGTTTTAGTGGCTAAGAGGACAGACCTGGAGCTAAATTCTCAAACCTGAGTGACCTTGGGCAAGTTACTTTAATCTGTGATTCAGTTTTCTTACCTGGAAGGTAGGAATGATAATAATACTTAACTCACAGACTTATACATGTTCTGAGCTCTGTATAGCTTGTTTAGAACATTGCCAGGCACTTAATAAGCATCCAGGGCCTGTCAGCTATTTTCATTAGGTACCCATCTTGTGGCTTCTAGTGCATTGCTCCCTCTGGGAAGAACTCCTAGCTTCCTCATGTCCATCCTCTTGTTCTTCCTCAAGCTTTTGTTTGTCTTGGCTGAGCTGCCTAGGGCCCTCTGAAAACGCTTGCTGGCTGATGTTCCCATGTTCTCTCATAGCAGTAATCACCTCCACATGGCCTTAATACTTCTCCAAGCCTTTATCTACCTCTTGGATTAGGTGCTGTCCTCAGGCTCCTCGTGAGGCCAGGAGAGGAAACAAGGGCCTGTGTTACATAGGAAGAAACTGCAGCTCCAAAAGGGGAGGCATCTTGCTTGGTGCCACACAGACTGTGACCAAACTGGGACTGGAAGCCAGGCCCCTGCCAGAGCTCTTTTGCTGCCCTGTACCTCAGGGATAGAGTGACAGAACACAGAAAAACTACGTTTCTGACCAGCAGCCATCTAGAACATAGCCTGGATTTCAGACATAGATAGCTACCTCCCTCTAGGGTCTTGGCAGCCTGTCATCCTCAGCTCTCAGAAGAAGGGTATTCATTGAGTGTACTTTCTGAGGTGGAAGCATGTGCTAGTGGGAGAGGAGCCTGGGGGAACCCTGGTCTGGGTGGAGGGACAGGGAACCTGTGAATATAAATCCCTAAATTCATCATGAAAAAGAGTAGGCAAACGCCATACTACATGTACGCACGCATACCCTTCCCCTGGGGCTAATCATGGTTGAACCTCACTCCAAAGGGCAGTTCCCAAAAGATCACTTCTAGGTCAGACTAGTAGAAGCCTGAAAAAAAGAGACCTGCTGAGCCAGACTTAGAAGAGCAGGGACATGACTTGGGTTTATTAAGGTAGGGAATGAGGGAGTCACGTTGGAGATGAATAGACAGAAAAGGAAGCAAGAAGCCAAAAAATACACGAGAATGGGATAGAGGATTTTGTGTTGGAGTGGTCTGAAAGCCTATGGGATATTTGAGATGCCCTCTTCCTTAACCCTTCCCTCTACCTTCCTGTCTCCCAAATAGACTCCTTCTTGTTTCCACACAGGGCTTCATCAGGCTGGACATGTCTGAGTTCCAGGAGCGGCATGAGGTAAGTGAGGGTCCCTGGTGAAGTGTGATTTGGAGGGCCTGTCAATCAACATGACTCTGCCTGGATATTTTTTTGTTCCTTGTCATTTGGACCTGAGATAATTCCAGCAGCCTTGGGATTTGTCCTTTGGGGGCATACGTGTGCAAGAGGATCACTGGTCTATTTTACATAGGACTTGCTCTAAGAAATAAACAGAGAGAAGATCTCTAGGCTCTCCCATGGCAGCATTCCTATCACCCCAAAAGAAAGTCCGACTATCCTTGTGGATACAGGCAGTCTTAATGAATGAAGCCATTTTCCTGTGCATGCCCATATGAAAAGCTAAAAAGTATAGAAAGGCCTTCCCAATATGTTCCCTTCCTTCTTCCAGGTGGCCAAGTTTATTGGGTCTCCACCAGGCTATATTGGCCATGAAGAGGGTGGCCAGCTGACCAAGAAGCTGAAGCAGTGCCCCAACGCTGTGGTGCTCTTTGATGAAGTGGACAAGGCCCATCCAGATGTGCTCACCATCATGCTGCAGCTGTTTGATGAGGTGAAAGTCACTTTGGGCTGGGATGGAGTAGGGGATACCTGGAGGTATTGGGACGCTGTGAACAATAAGAATCAAGGGCCCAGAGGCCTTGTCTGATCCCTCCTCTGCTTGCTATTTCCACATGTGTATGTTTAGTCACTTAGCAGATGTGGTTTTGTCCCCTTTCTGGACCAGGGCCCAGGGTGGGCCCTCGAGGGCAGACCAGCACTACCCAAGAATTGAAATTTCGTGGTTGCCCGGGCTACCTTCTAGAGAGACATGGAGCAGAAGTGCCAGGACAGACCTGAACTTTTAGTTCCCACTGCTCCATCTCTGTGCATCAGCGCCTTGACAAGCAAGGAGACTGGATCCAAGATAAGCTTCAAGAACCTTTCTGGCTCATGGAGCCCTTCTCTTCCAAGGAGCTCTAGGCTTGTCACAAACTAGACAGCCTCCTTCTGATGGGGTGAGCTCTAAATGAGAAGAAGTCCCTTCTTTATCAGCACATTCTGGGTACTAGGCTTGTTCTAAAGTTGTCATTGCTAACCATCACAGTAGATAGGCAGAATAGAAACTGTCTTCATTTTTTACAGAAGAAACTGAGGTTCAGAGAGGTTGTAAATGTCTTGCCCATGACATGGAGCTACTGTGCAGAGGAACCCTGTTTGGGCCATAGATTTGATTCCAGAGCCCCAGTTCTCCCTCTCTGTACACTCTTTACTTCAAGCAGAGGACAGAGACTTAGGATCATAGGAGGGGTTGACTTCCTCAGGGGTCCTGCAGAACTGGATACAAGGCTTCTCTTCTGCTCCCACACAGGAGCTATTCTAGCCAACACATGTCCAGATGGAGTCCAGCCTACCTTTCCACTTAGCCCCATCCAGCCCTGTGACAATAGGAAGGGTTTTTGCTTCCCACGTTGCGAGTGTGCTCAATGAAGTTTAGTAAGAAGGGACTCCTCCTGGACCAAGTAGCACACCAGGTACCAAGCCAGGAAGACTCAGATCCAATATCCCCACAACTACCCATCCCCTTCCCCACCTGGCCCAGCATCCTTGTCCCTGCCCCAGTTTTATTGCTGTCTTTCTAGCCCCCTAGCTGTTCCCTGTTCCCAGACTAGCCACTGAGGAATGAAGGTGGGGCCTTCAAAGGTCATAGATTCAGTTACCGATACCAGTGCTCTGAGACTTTCCATCTTGTTCCAATCTCTTGTTGGGATTCAAGTATACAGCTATAGACCAGACCCAGTCCTGCTCTCTGGGAGCTCCCTGCCTAGTAGATGGGTGGAAAGGAGACATGATAATAGTTGATATTTTTGACTTTATGTGCCAAGCACTGTTCTAAAACATTCACTTGTATAAATTCATCGAATCCTCCCAGCCTGTGAGGATGGTTATTATTATTGCCTCTGTGTAAGAGGTGGAAACTGAAGTAAAATGAGAGAAGTGAGTGGCCTATGGGCATGCAGCTGGGAAGAGAGTCCAGGCTTGGAGCCCAGGCAGTCCAATTCAGAGCCTGCAGCTTCAGTAATAACTACCACGCAGCTATAGCCAGAAGAGAGAGATAGGTCTGCAGGGAAGCCTTCACAGGAATGGAGGGCTTAGCTCAAAGAGTATGGGCACTGCGGCTTCTGACATCTCTGCAAAGGAGCTTCTCATGGCCTCCTTGGCCCAGAAAGAGTGAAGGCAGCTTTGACTGAGAAACACAAGTACCACCTTAAACTTGTTACCACCTCTGTATGTAAGCCCTCCCCACCCCACACCCACCCCCGCTTCCCCTGCTGCTGTCCTTCCACTGGCTTACCTTTTGGGAGTCATAATTCCTTCCTCTAGCCCCCACCAGCCTACTGCCATTTCTGAAGTTTATGCCCTTCGTTCCATTGACCAAAGCTACCATCCAAGATTACTTAGCCAGATTTATGCTTATAGGCTTCTTATGGACCAAGACCTTGTATTACCTACTCCAACCATTCCCAGAGCCCACAAAGTCAAGGGAAATGCTCTGTTGAGTAACTTAATTCAACAGTAATTCAGCATACCTTCCAAGGATAAATAAGGAGGTTCTAGATGAACCTCCTTATTGGAGGAGGGCAGAGTGGAGAAGGGCTGGCAGCAGACATCCACTGTGCAGAAGCATAGGGGCACAAGACATCCTGGTCTGTCCAGGGAGCTCTAGCTGCTCAGTACCGCTCGACTGCAAAAGGGAAGTAAGAGCAGAACAGTAGAGGTGAGTGGGTAAGGTGAGCAGGGACCAGTTATGACTCCAGGCAAAGGAGTGTGGGTTTACTTGTTAGATTGTAGGAGTCTTTAAAGATTTTGAACAAGGGGACGCCTGGGTGGCTCACTGGTTGGGCATCTACCTTCGGCTCAGAGCGTGATCCCGGGGTCCTGAGATCGAGTCCTGCATGAGGCTTCCCACAGGGAGCCTGCTTGTGTCTGCCAGTATCTCTGCCTCTCTCTGTCTCTCGTGAGTAAATAAATAAAATCTTTTAAAAAAAAAGTTCTCATTTAAATAATAATAAAATAATAAAGATTTCGAGCAAGAAAGAAACATGACCAGATGCTCACTTTATAAAGATACTGTAGGCAGCAGTGAGAGAATGGACTGGAAAGAAGAGGGGGAGCAGAAGGAGGCTGTTGAAGTATCCAGGCTAGATGGCTGCTCTAAAGCAGGGCTACAGGCTGGCCAGAACTCCCCAAAGGCCGACCTTGCAGGGCTCAGTCATTGAACATGAGGGGAGATGGAGGAGTTGGGGGTAGCCAGCTATAGGATTTTTGGCCTGGGTGACTAGATGGCCGCTGTCACCATCAGCTGAGGCGGACAAGGAGGACAAGCAGCAAACTGGCAAGGAAGATGAGGAACTGAGGTTTTAAAATGGCTGAAAATGAGATACCTAAGGGACAGACTAGGTAGAGGTGTCCAAGAGGCCAGCCATCAGTTGGAGCAGTCTATAGCATAGGACTGATCTGGACTAGAGGCAGAGATTCAGGAATGCATCAGCACAGATAGGGAAGGCTGAGATCTCTCAAGTAGGGGGTATATAGTATGCAGAGAAGAAGAGAGAACTAACACAGAGGCTTGTGACCAATATATCAGGAAAGGCAGAGAGGGAATGTGGTTCATTGTGGGGCGAGAGGACACAACATAGTCTCTGCCTCAGTGTTCATGAATGAGTGGGGGAGACCAGCAGCAAAAAGCCCTCCAGCGTTCTGTGGTACATGCTGCACTAGGATAAGTTGCAATGCCAGGAGTTGTCAGGGCACCAGATCCAGTCTGAGGACATGAAGGAAGCCCCCCATTCCCACCCAGCCCTGTTCTCCCAAGCCTGGTCCCAGAGAAGCAGGAGCCCTCATGCTCTCACCAAGTGGAACTAATGACTTCAGAGCCTGCTGTGCAGGGCAGAAGTCCCAGGAGGACACTAGCCCCTGGGGAGCCTACCTCTGCGCCTCCCTTTAAGTATGGAAGCAGTGGGAAAGCAGCACCCATAACTCTGGGTTGGGTAACATTCACACCCTCCCAGTTACTGCTGGGATGTGGAACAGTGGCAGCTCCTTCTTTGAGATACATCTCTACTGCCAAGGACTCTGAAGAGGAGGAGACATGAGCACTGTGGAAGTCATCCTTTGGGTTAGTCATATACTGTATCTGCTCCCCTCACCTACCTGAGACCCATTCTCAGGCTCAGTTAAAAGCAGGGCTTTGATCCTGGAATGAAATTGCCTAGTTATTGTTCTGGCCACTATAGCAGGATGTGTACTCAGTCCTCAGGGATGAACTCTGCGAGGAGTGTCATATGCACACATTTGGACGTGTCACATACACACACACACACACACACGTAACTCATAATCAGGAAAGCCAATGGCGAAAGCTCAAGAACATCCACTTGCACCCTTGCCTTCCTTTCTTCTCACCCCAGCGTAGGATTGTGGAAAGTAATCAGAACCTAGACCACAGGGCCCCTTCTGAATTGATCCCCTTGGAGTTAACACTTTCTAAGAGGCCTGAGGGGCACCTGGGTGGCTTAGTTGGTTAAGTATCTGACTCTTGATTTTGGCTCAGATCATGATCTCAGGCTGGGGATCAAGCCCCATGTTGAGCTCCATGTTGGGTTCTGTGCTCAGTGGGGAGTCTGCTTGAGGATATTTGTCTCTCCCTTAAATTAAATAATTAAATCTAAGAGGCCTGTGCCAAGGGCCAGTATAAAGCAAGGCTAAAAAGCACCAGGTACCATGCCCCGCGTAGAGTAGGTACTAAGTTAATGCACATTCCTTCCCCTTTTGCATATGAGGGCCAGGGCTGATCTGCCATTGGCTTTAGAAGCAAGCACTGAGCCTGAGTCAGGTCCATACTACCAGGGAAAGGGAAATGCTTGAGGTGGACTAGTTACCAGCTGAGGTTGAGGCAGGCAGGAGCAGACAGGTTGGGGTCAGTGACCTGTCCCCAGAACCATGCTCCCTGTGCTTTGTGGGAGGGGTGCAGTGGTGCACAGAGAACACTCAGCAGGGCTCCGGTGATAGAAGTAGAAGTGCCATGTTGGTGTCCACTGTTGTTACTACCATCAGTTCTGCTCAGCAAGACCCTGACCATTGCTTTCATCATAAAGGACTGTAAAGTACTGTTATACAATGATGGACTTGTTTGCTGAGTAGATGCAGCTTCTTGCCTGGAACTGCGTGGCCCCAGATAGCTATACTTCTCATTCTTCTGTCTCTTCTCTCTGCTGTTGTTCCTTTTCTTTTTCTTTGATGCATCTGTCTCCACTATAGATCCTTTCTTTCGTCTGTGTCACTTCTAGAAAGAGCTCAAGATTCCAAGGAATCTTCCCACATCGGTTAAAGGAGGAGCCTTATTTTCTGTCCCTCTCTGTCAGGCAAAAGGATGGCTTTAAAGTTGCAGAGATGGCATACCTGCAACATACCTCCTAATAACAGTTCAGAACATTTGCACAGCTTAGCTAACTAAGGATTTTTAACCAACATGACCATATTAGTCTTCACAGTGGCCCTATAAAATACTCTCCTCTACTCCGGGCCTTCCCCTTAACACTTAATACACTGATTTGTCATTGCTGGTTTCTTGAGTGTCTTTTTTTTTTTTTTTTAAACGAGCCTGTTGAAGGCTCAGTGAGGCCCTGGTGCCCCAACACAGAGCCTGGCCCAGACTGGCCTCCAAGAGAATGTGTTGGATGGATGCCTGTTTAATCAGCTGACTTTTGGGGTGCCAGAGATGAACTGGGGACCCTGACTGTTGACAGAGATGTAGTCTTGACTGGAGGCACTCTCAGCAGATAGAATGGTTATAGCCCAGGGCAATGAGAACCAGGAGGAGTGAGCAGCCGGCAGTTCTGAGCCAGGGGTTCTGGGGAGACCTCCTGGAAGAGGTACCCAGGCTCAACACTCTCTGACTGTGCAGTCACTGTTCTTTCCCAGGGCCGGCTGACAGATGGAAAAGGGAAGACCATTGACTGCAAGGACGCCATCTTCATCATGACCTCCAATGTGGCCAGCGACGAGATTGCACAGCATGCACTACAGCTGAGGCAGGAAGCTTTGGAGATGAGCCATAACCGTATTGCCGAAAACCTTGGTATGGCACATGGCCTGAGCTGTCTGGGCATCTGGGCAAGTGCCCAGACCGTCAGCACATCTCCTAGGGGCAAGGATGATATCAGGCAGGAGGCCACATCTATCACCTTTTTATTTAGAAATGAACCTTCCAACCCCTCTTCCAAGTCAGAACTCAGGTCTTGGTCCTGACTGTTGTTCCCCTCCTTCCCTCCTTCACACAACTCCTACCCTAAGGAACCCTCAGGCTTTGTATTTGTAGCACATAGAACTGGAAGTGCTTCAGGAAGTGTCCAGTCCCATGCTCTCGCCATTCAAGTGGAGACTAGGCTGAGGCTTAGAGAGCCTGAGGTCCTGACCAGGATCACACAGACCATCAGGGGCAGGACAAAAGGTCTTTTTATGAATGGGGGCTGGAGGCAGGCACAATTCCCAGAGCTCCTTAGGTGTGGGAGTAGGCAGTTTATGATTCTTTTTCCACAGGGGATGTCCAGATTAATGACAAGATTACCATCTCAAAGAACTTCAAGGAGAATGTGATACGCCCCATCCTGAAAGTAAGAGGTCTTTGTCCTTCCTACTGGAGTGTCCAGTGGGAAGATCCCTTAGCCATCCTTAGTCTTCCTCACTGGGGTCTAGTAATTCCCTTTACCCCTTCTGGGTCACAGAGCTCACCCACCCCTAACCTGGCCCTGCAGGCTCACTTCCGGAGGGATGAGTTTCTGGGAAGAATCAACGAGATTGTCTACTTCCTCCCCTTCTGCCACTCGGAGCTCATCCAACTTGTTAACAAGGAGCTGAACTTCTGGGCCAAGAGAGTAAGAGCAGGAACTTCCCCTGGGCAGGGTTGGGTCATCAGCCCACTGGAAATCAGGGAACACTGGGTTGGGAGTATCAGCTGCCTAGAAGCATGGAGCACAGTGGTGCGGGCGGGTGGCCCTGGTGGCACACAATCACTCACAGTCCCAGGCCTCAGGCCAGAGTGGTGAGAGGTGGAAACACTGGGCCACATGCAGGTATGCTCCTATCTGACCTGTCTCAGGCCAAGCAAAGACACAACATCACGCTGCTCTGGGACCGTGAGGTGGCAGATGTGTTGGTCGACGGCTACAATGTGCACTATGGCGCCCGCTCCATCAAGCATGAGGTGAGCACAGGAGCCAGAGAGAAGTAAGGCACCTCCACACCTCCCTCCCTAGTGCCCCAGCCCCATCCTAGGCTCCCAGCCTGGAATAGTCCATACTCAGAGCAGATGCCCCTCAGAACCAAAACCAGATGAAAGTAAAACCCCACTCTGGAGAATAACCAAGTATGAACCCCTGCCAGAAGTGAGGAACTGAGTTAGGAACCTCAGAAACTGACATCATTGAGTATTTAGCATAGTCCTGCAAGCTGTGTGTTGTTAGCCCCACTTTGCAGAGGGGGGAACTAAAGCTCAGAGGCTTCTGACTTGCCCTAGCAGTAAGTGACAGAGCCTGGGCTTCAGCCCCAGGTCACAGTAAGGATGACCATTTCACCTGTCACCTACAGGTAGAGCGCCGTGTGGTGAACCAGCTGGCAGCCGCCTATGAACAAGATCTGCTACCTGGGGGCTGTACCCTGCGCATCACTGTGGAGGACTCAGACAAACAACTGCTCAAGAGCCCTGAACTGCCCTCACCCCAGGCTGAGAAGCGTCCCCCCAAGCTGCGGCTAGAAATCATCGACAAGGACAGCAAGACCCACAAACTGGACATCCGGGCACCACTACACCCTGAGAAGGTGTGCCACAACCTCTAGCTTCTACCTACCTGCCTATACGTGCCCTCAACATCCAATAAAGGCCCCTCGGCTGTGGCATGGCAACTGACCTATCTTCCCCTCATGCCCTTTTCCTCCTCTCCACCCAGCCTGAGGCCTTTTCACCTCCTCATAGCCCCTGGATGACCTCAGCCTCAAAGTCAAAAATAGGGATGTGGCCCTCCCTAAACCCTTTGTTTTGGGTCCAGAACTTGCTAACAGGCCTCCAAGAGAGGAGCTGCCTCCTCACCCCCTTCAAGGCAGGGAGGAGAAGGAGGTCCCATGTCCTATCCTTCAGCATGATCCCTATGGCCTTGTAGTCTCTGGGACTTTATCATGGTCCCAGGAAGCTCAGAAGTTTGACAGCTAAGAACAGATCTGCCTGGGAGAAGACAGGAACCAGGCTATGACCTGCCATCCTTTGCTGGCCTTTATGGAATGGGTCCCCAGAATGTCTGCATAGTTTGTGGAGAAAGAGTACAGAGGCCCAGGCACAGAGGTTGTACAGTGTAGGCTGTAGCTTCCTCTTGCCCATACCCAAAAATTCCAAGAAGGGACCCATTAAACCCTTCCCCTCTCTACTGCCATATGGTGGCCATTCCCCCTCACCACACATTCTGGTATCAGGCCAGACCATGCTTCTCCAGCTTTGGAACTAAGCCAGTGTAAGGCACCTCTAGAAGGAAGGTTGAGTGGGTCACTACCCTACTCTGCTCTGGGACTGGACAATAGTACCAAATGACCAAGCAAGCTCACTTCTATAGGGCCTCCTTCAGGAGACTAACACAAACATTGGGGAGCTAGCTATAGGGAGAGTGATAATGAAGTCAGGTTGTTCCAGGTGGCCATGCAGTCTGCATGTTAGTCACTAAGCAGAGGGTCTGCACACCATCCCCCAAGGGCATACCACAAACCAGCCATGTTTCAACCCCAGCTTAGCAGGACACAACAAAGCCTAGTGCATCCTTGGGTACCATCATCAGTAGCCCATCACCTGCAGGGCCTTTTTGGCTCCCTCCTTGGTGTCAGCTAATCTCTTTTAGGAGCAGAAAATAGAGGCAGGAATTAAAGTCCCTTGGGTGATGGAAGAATGCCCCAACAAAGTGGTAGGTATGAGGCAGTCAGAAGTCAGGAAATGGGCTCCAGCAAATGCTCCAGCAATCACCGTCCAGTCCCTCAAAGAGCTATCTGCTGCTTCCTACCTCAGTGACTGCCGTTCTTTTTACTGCTGCTGCTGCTACTACTACTACTACTACTACTACTTGTTTGGAAATAATTTTAGACTTACAGAAAGTTGCAAAAATAGTAGTTCCCACATATCCTTCACCTCTTGTGTCTTAGTATTAACATCTTACAAAGTTATAGTATAATTATTAAAAGCAGGAAATTAACATTGACACAGTACTAACTAATCTGTAGATATTCAGATTTTGCCATTTTTCCCACTGATGTCCTTTTTCTGGTCCAGGGTCCAATCCAGGATTCCATGTTACATTTCTTTTTTTTTTTTTTTTCCATGTTACATTTCGTTGAATGTTTCCTTTGTCTCCTTCAGCCTGTGACAGTTCCACCATCTCTCTTTGCCCTTCATGACCTTAACACTTTTGAAGTGTCCAGACCGTTATTTTGTAGATTGTTCCTCAGTTTGAGTTCGTCTCCTGTTTTCACGTGATTAGATTGAGTCTGCAGTTTTGGCAAAACTTCCTCCAGAAGTGATGATGTGCCCTTTTAGTGCCTTCTAGCAAGGGGTGATGTTAACTTTGATCACATGACTGAGGTGGTGTGTGTCAGGTTTCTCCACTATAAAATTACTAATTTCCTCTGAAATTAATAGGAATCTGGTGGGAAGATACTTTTAAGCTATGCAAATGTCTTATTTATCCTTAAACTTTTGCTACCAATTTTAGCATCTACCGATGGTTTTTGCTTATGAGTATTAATGCTGTGTTGGCCTAATGATGACTTTGTATTTACTTATTTCATCTGTATTTATTAATTGGTATTCTGTTTTAGAAAGAACTATCTCTTTTTCTCCCATATATTTATTCTTTAATTTATTTATATCAGTATAAACTGATGGATTTTCTTTTTTATCCTGTGGGCTCTAATCTAATACTAGTTTATCTGTTGCTCATACTGGCCCAGATCTGGCCATTGGGAACTCTTCAGGTTGACTTCTGTATTGTTTCAGCACTGCCCTCATCATTTTTTTAGCCCTTCCTTACTCTCTAGCACCACACAATGTTCCAAGCTCATTTATATTTTTCCTGTTCCAGCCCTGGCATCAGCTAATTTCCCAGGTAGTTCCTGGTTCCTTGCACTCGAGAATGGGCACTAGGTGTATTAATTGCTACTAAAGTGTCATTACTTCTAGGCTCTTTCAGCACACAGATCTAGGAAATAGGTGTATTCCTGTTAACACACACTGTTGGATTTATCATTGTATCTATATGTATATTATTAAAAATCATGAGTTTACATTGAAACCTATAGTTCCAATCCAATACCATAGGATTTGTGACTGCTGTTATTACACTCTACTATTCTTTTTCTCTTCTTCTGCTATCTCTGTTTCTTCTCCTTTCATTCTGTTTGGTGTTCAGACTTCCCTTAAAAACTCTAATGCAGTCAGTTAGTGACCATCCTATATGGAACATTCCTATTAGATAAAGTTCTTATGCCTGGTTGTCAGTCTTTGGTTCAGTTAGCTGTGGCTAGGAGCAGCAGGCATATAACTCAAGACCAGATAACTGTATTAGAAAACCCAATGGCCACCTTTGGGAAATGGAAAAAAGAAGATAGGGTAGGCCCTCAGATTTTGAGGAACTTCTACATTATCACTTCTACAGATTCTTAGCTATACCTCCTAATTGATGTTGGCCCCTTGTTGTGCTTCCATAGCATTCTAGGCAGTACTCAGCTCACCTGCATTGTTTGTTCTATATCTGTCCTTGTCACTAGAATGTAAGCACCCAGAGAGCAGATACTCAGTTGTCCAGCTCACTGTCCTATTCACAGGACCTGACTGCCAGCATATGACAGATGCTCCAGGTATTTGGATGGATGGGTGCGCCCTGCAGCAAGCACAAATCTCCACAGTGGGTCAGAACAGTATCATTTTTTCACTGAGCACACATATATTTGTCATGTTCTTATGGCCAGCCAGTAGGACCTGTCAGGATTAGACCCTGAGCAAATGGGGCAAAGTAAGACCCAGATCCTGTATTGAGTATCCTGGAATGCATAAGACTGGGCTTGAAAATAAAAATGTAACACCTTTATTATTCAAAAAGAAAAATTCAAAGATGTATAGTGATTGTTTTAGAAATTTAGGGAAGGGGTACCTGAGTGGTTCAGTTGGTTAAGCATCTGACTCTTGATTTCAGCTCAGATCATGATCTCAGGGTTGTGAGATCAAGCCCCGTGTCAGGCTCCATGCCTAGCATGCTGACAATTCTCTTTCCCTCTGCCCCTGCACCCCCTCCCTCTCAAAAAAAAAAAATATATATATATATATATGGGATTAAAAAAAGCATTTAAACCATAAGAAAATAGAAAATGGACCACTAAAGATAAAATCTGAAGTTAAAAAGGAGAAAGGATAAGTAGAAAAATCACTCTGTAGAAACACCAATAAAATAGATAAAACCTCAGCCTGATTAAAAGAAAGAAAAAAAAATGCAAGATTAGGAATGAGAAACCATGTAGGTATGGAAAGTTTTAAATAATTATTTTAATAAATTAAGAAACAGCAGATAATTTTCCAGCAGACACTCAAAACATACTTTGAATAGACCAATTAATTACCAAAGAAGAAATTGGAAAGGTGATTAAACATTTATCCTTTTAAAAAATCATGTTCTTTTATTTAAACTTTTTAAATTGAAATATACATGGGAAAAAATGCACAAATCACAAATATACAGTTCACTGAATGGTCACAAGCTGAACACTATTTGTAGCTGTCACATTCAGCCCAACAAATAATTTTTTAATTATTATATCAGCTGCTTCAGACCACGGGATAAGATGGAAAGATGCTCAGTTAAATTTTAAAGGCCAGCATAAGATTAATACTCAAACCTAATAGTGGCAGAAAGAATGTCCTAGCCTAATCTCACCTATGACCATAGATAAAAAGTTCCAAATAAAATAAAGTTGAATTGTACACTATCCTCACATTACATTTATTTCAGTAATAACAAGCCTCGATATCAGGAAATTTACTAATAAAATTCACTACATCAAGAACTTGAAGAGGGGTACCTGGCTGGCTCAGTCGGTAGAACATGCAACTCTTTTTTTTTTTTTAAGATTTTATTTATTTATTCATGAGAGACACAGAGAGAAGCAGAGACACAGGCAGAGGAAGAAGCTTAGGCAGAGACCCAGGCAGAGGGAGACCGAGGTGTCCCAAGCGTGCAACTCTTTTTTTTTTTTTTTTCCAAGCACGCAACTTTTTTTTTTTTTTTTTTTTTATGACAGTCACACTGATAGAGAGAGAGAGGCAGAGACACAAGCAGAGGGAGAAGCAGGCTCATGCACCAGGAGCCCGACGTGGGACTCGATCCCGGGTCTCCAGGATCACGCCCTGGGCCAAAGGCAGGCGCCAAACCGCTGCGCCACCCAGGGATCCCCAAGCACGCAACTCTTAATCTCAGGTTCCAAGCCCCACTTTGGGTGTAGAGCTTACTTTAAAAAAAAAAGTTTTAAAATTATTTAAATGTCCATAAGATTAATATTAATGTTAATTTTCTTATTTTGATAATATATGATTAGAGAATGTCCTGTTTTTATAAAATATACATTGAAGTATTTAGAAGTCAAAGGTAAAGAAATTTGCTAGTGTATCAGGAAACTTTATATATGTACACAGATGCACAGGCCCATACACATATACATACATATACACACACACAGTGGTGAAAGTATTAACATTTGGGAAATCTGAGTAAGGATATGGAGGAATTCTTTGTATTGTTTTTGCAGCTTTTGTCTAAGCCTAAAAAAGTACTTTAAAGTTTTCTAAATTAAAGGAAATAAAACATTTTATCAGGATATGCTGAAAAAGTGGATTAAATTTTTCAGTTTTAATTGTGATTTGATACGAATAAAGCTCTAGGGGTGCCTGGCTGGGTCAGTGGGTAGACTATGCAACTTTTGATCTCCGAGTCATGAGTCTGAGCCCCACATTAAGCAAGGACATTACTTAAAAAAATTTTTTTAATTTAAAATACAGCAAAGCTCTATATAAAAGGAAAAGATTATTCATCAAAAAACATTAGCAAACATTTCTAATAGTAAATACTAAAGTTATTTTGTTAAAGTCTGAAATAAGACAGGATTCAACATTGCTTTGAAAATCCAGCTGAGGGACGCCTGGGTGGCTCAGTGGATGAGCATCTGCCTTCGGGTTGAGTCCCACATCGGGCTTCCTGCATGGAGCCTGCGTCTCCCCCTGTTTGTGTCTCTGCCTCTCTCTGTGTGTCTCTCATTAATAAATAAATAAAATCTTAAAGAAAGAAAGAAAGAAAGAAAGAAAGAAAGAAAGAAAGAAAGAAAGAAAGAAAGAAAGAAGAAAGAAAAAGAAAGAAAAGAAAGAAAATCCAGCTGAAAGCAATTAAGCAAGAAAACGAAATAATTGATATAAATATTGGAAAATATAAGTTATCTTGTTTTGGTGAAGTATGACTGTATATTTAAGAAGTCCAATAGGCTATACTAAAACCTAGTAGCATTAATAAGGAAATTTGGTACATGTGTGACTAGAAGATAAATGTATAAAAATCAATAGCTTTTTTCTGTTCTAGCAGTAGTCAACTAGAAAACAATAACAAGTATTTCATTCACAGTTGCAACAAATGAGTATATATATTTGCTCATATATACAAAAATACCTCTGAAAGAAGAAGTGGGTAGAGGAGATAGCAGTAGAAATGGAAAGTTCACTATATTCATTTTTATACTTTTAAGTTAAGTTTCGAACCATATTAATGTGTTATCTATTCAAAGGTAAACTACATTATAAAACATTCAAAATTATAAAATATTTAAGAATAAACTTAACAAGAAAAGAAAATCCTATTGAAGGACATAAAATAAGATCTGACTAATGAGGGGATCCCTGGGTGGCTCAGCAGTTTAGCGCCACCTTCAGCCCAGGGCCTGATCCTGGAGACCCGGGATCGAGTCCCACGTCAGGCTTCCTGCATGGAGCCTGCTTCTCCCTCTGCCTGTGTCTCTGCCTCTCTCTTTCTCTCTCTCTCTCTCTCTCTCTCTCTCTCTCTCTCGAATAAATAAAATCTTTTTTAAAAATCTGAATTTAAAAGTATATATAAAATATTTGGAGAAATAAAAGGAAGACTAGAAACCATAATGCAACAAAGAACAGTACAAAAAAAGAATAGGTGAATTTGAAAAAACCTTCAGGTGATTTCCTCACATTTATTTCTGGGTTTTTTATATATATTTAAACAATTTTCTGTATTGTGGTCTTAATTAATATAAGTTATTCGATTACTAGGATCACTCCGGTTCTTAAAGAACAAAGATTTGGGTCACCCACTGGGCAAAGAACACTAATGATCTTAGGAGATGACATAAAGCAAGGGGAATATGGAATGTGTAGGAGAGGGGGAAAGTCACCAGTGCCACCCCATGCATTCCTACCTCCAAGCCATGATCAGTTGCAGAAATAAGGATGTAATCTTAACCACAGTCCTGGAACTATTTGCTCACTATCCTCTAAGAGTCATTCAAGTCTAATCCCACCATGCCTCACAGGTTTGTCACAGTAATCCCAAGAGTCTGAACCTGGGTGTTCATCTACCACTGCATCACATACTGCTCCCCTTCCCAACCCATCTACTATGCCCTCCAGTACTTCCCTTCTATAATCAAATTCTATATAAGCACCTTCTAATTGGAATGTTTGCTTTATCACTTCACCTTAATTGTGCCCTAAAGGCATTGTTTACTTTGTCCCCTAAAATGCCTGGGTGGCTCAGCGGTTTAGCGCAGCCTTTGGCCCAGGGCATGATCCTGGGGACCGGGGGTCGGGTCCCGTGTCAGGCTCCCTGCATGGAGCCTGCTTCTCCCTCTGCCAGTGTCTCTGCCTCTCTCTGTGTCTCCCATGAATAAATAAAATCTTAAAAAAAAATGAACAATCAGATTACAAAATGTTGCAAAGATCTGAGCAGACACCTCTCCAATAAAGATAGAGGGCAAAAAAACATATGAAAAGATGTGCAACATTATACATCATTAATGAATTGCATATGAAAACAATAATAAGGGATCCCCGGGTGGCGCAGTGGTTTAGCGCCAGTCTTTGGCCCAGGGCGCGATCCTGGAGACCAGGGATCGAATCCCACGTCAGGCTCCCGGTACATGGAGCCTGCTTCTCCCTCTGCCTGTGTCTCTGCCTCTCTCTCTCTCTCTCTCTGTGACTGTCATAAATAAATAAAAAAAAAATTTAAAAAAAAAAGAAA